AGAAAAACCTGGATGGTGTTTTCTGTTGGCTCTGGAGCTGAAGTGAGGGTATTTTCATGACTGTACCTTTTCAAGCGAGAGGCGGCCCGAGCCGAGCGTTTTGGTGCAAAGCGAGCGTCGGGGGGGATCTCTAGGGCCATAGTCAGCCACTCCAGCATTCCCAGGACATTGGCATTGGGGAAGTTCAACCTCAGCCAAGCTGCCCGGGAATTCTCAAAAGGGTGCTTCTGGTGCAGAAACGGGTTACAAAACACGAAGCAACCCTTTCAGTACTCTCATGCCTGGGGAAAAACTTCAAAGTGGGATTCCCACTATGACTGCTTTATCGTTTGAAAGGAGATTCACTTCATATCGCAACCTAAAAGCAGCAATTCTCCAAAAACACATGTTTACTTGGTTGCTGTTGACCCCTCTGCAAGAAGCTTAACTTTTTGTGGGTTTAGTGGAAAACCCCTTGATTTCCCAAAAAGCTAAAGTCTAAAGATCCAACCCAATAGCAGTCAAGTTTAATAGGGCCCCCTTTTCGACCCTGCTGCTATGCAAGGAGGATACCAACCCCCCCTTGTCGTTTTCGCCGAGGCACGTGACTTCGTCCAGCAAGTCCCCAGCGGGGTTGCAGACCAGGACCTTGGGTCTACCTGAAAGCCAATCCAAAAAAGACGACTTGTGATTCTAAGGGTAGCCTCCCAGTTCTGTTCTAGAAAACCACCCAAAACCCTGGGAAAACAGCTGATATTTGAAAAGAACGATGGTTGAAAAGAATGGAAGAGGAATCAACCCCTAGAGTGATGCGACAGGGGGAGGGGCGTTTCGTGACACGACCTGAAGGCTCTCGGAGCCATGGGAAAGCTGATGCTTGACGTTCCCATGACTGGGCTGTCCCTGCTAAACTAAACTTTAGTGGGTCAAATGGAAAGCCCCGCTGAACCCTAAAAAGCTAAGAAGCTAAGGGGATGAATGGGAACCAACAAAGTGAGCTGATGGGCCCGATACCTTGCCTGCAGAATGGATGGCGACCACCTCCTCCTTGCTACTGGGCGCAGCGCTGCAGCAGCCTGCGGGAGACATCAAAACTCGCGAGGGGCCTCTGTGAGAACGGGCTGAAATGGAAAACCGGCTGATTCAAATTCCAAGTTGATCGCACACTGTTGACCTGGAGACAAATATCCGAAAGCTATTCCCTGGAGACACAAAGCATTGCTCTGGCCCTACTCATGACCCAGCAAGCCATTCAAACCAAATTTGTCACGCCCCACACTTCTCGGCTTTCACACAGGTTCTACAACGCTCATTGCATGAACGACTGGAATAACTTTCGTGTTCTTGGGAAGCACAAACAAAGTGTCTTTGTCAACGTGATTGCTAGGGGGCCTGGTGGGAAACCAAATGCAAAAACACCTTTTCATGGGTGGCCTCATTTTGAGACAAAAACATAATCTCAAGAGGCAATGGCACCGTTTTTCACCGGTGGCTGCAACCCCATCTTCTCTGCTTGCAACCGGTGGGGTAAGTGGGGAGCTTGCCCGAAACATCAATCCGAACATGGGACTCAGAAGCTCTTGAATCAATAAACCTTCAATGCCACAACCAACCGGTTGGAAGATACTATCCAAAGGCACTCAACTCAACAACAACCAGAAACTCAAGACACGAGGTTTACTGAAGACGCCTGCTTGATCCAAAGCCAAAGAGGGGAAACCCGCGCGGCCAAAGCTCAGGCACCCCTTGAAAATTGCTCAAACGTCGTGCCTCGCCACATCACATCCATGATGCATGCGGACGCGTCCAAGTCTTTTGCCGGAGATCTGTTCCGGGGTTCAAGGAAGAGACCTGATATGAGTGCGCTGCCAAAAACATCACCCCTGGAAAGTCAGGCCGCGTCGGCCAATCGAAGATGGCCAAGACATCGATCCCAAGCGACTATCTATTTTGAGCCAAAATGGCGGATCGTTCAGGTCCAGTCTTATGGAACACCACACATGGTCACAATGTATTTTCACTCACATCGGTTATGTGATTGTCTCAATAGGGAAAGCGAACAGGAACTCCATTGCAACAGCAACTAAGTTTACACCATATGAAAGGATGAGATACTGTTGATCTGGCGCTTGTATCTTATGCTAGTTCCGCTTCATATGCATGTGTATACATATATACATATATACATATGTACATAGGTTACCCCTTGTATGAATAATTTTCCCCGTGCACAGCTTCACGGACTCCCGGCAGCATGAGGCATGAATTCGCAGTCTGCTATGGCTATGAAGCATGGATTCTATCTTGGAACTCCCTGAAGGCCAATTGCACGCTTGCCACGGGAAAACAAAAACAAAAAAGTGAAAGCAAGGAACCGCCAAGACCAGAAAGCATGTGCAAGCTGCGCCAACGATGATGAAACTAGTTGCCTCGGCTGCCTACCTGTTCAAAACGTGGTTGTCGTTCGGCACACCAACCAGCACCCCAAAAATAACACTTCCGTGAAATAGAAAAAAGCGAAAGTCTCGGGAGTTTGCAAAAGTAAAATGGCGCGAGTCAGACCTGGTCGACAAGTCTGTTTGTCCTGCTCATGTATCTGATCCTAGTCTCAACTCGTTGACCAGCTGTATCCCGATCTGTTGACCATGGCTTCCGGAAAGAGTGCCCGAGGACTTCGAGCTAGAAATGTAGCTCCAACGACTTCTTGCCTTACCGCCTTACCCCATCCAGTGTTTCCTGGGTCAGGGATCAGGTAGCCATTGCGCGTTGTGATTCTTTCCATCAAGCTCCGCGCAAGCTCGCGTTTTGGTTGCCAATTGCCAAGGCCGTGCGAAGTTTCACGAGGCCGTGCGAAGCCGCGAGTCAAACCTTCGACTGAAAGCCGACAGGGCCTGAGGTCCGGGTTGAGCCGCCAGCCCGTCCGGCGGACGTGCGGTCGGATCGATCGAAAATTACATCCCGGCTTCCTGCACGAAAGCGCGCAAAGCGGCTGGCTTCGGATGCCTGGAGTGGTCAGAAAGCCCTGGGACTTCCTTTTTTTTCAATCACTGGCCCCAGATTTGTTTTGTTCCTGCAGATATAGAAAGCCAGGCTCCTGGAGCTGTCGAAATGTCAGGATGTAACCCGCCACAGACCTGAAGTGAGACCAGCCGCGGGAGCCCAACCCGAGAGTGGAAGCAAGGCCCGGCCACCTCGCCAGGCTCTCCTGAGATAAAGCGGTAGACGGTATGCCTGTCCACGGAACGAAAACTCAGATTCAGACGCCACGGCAGGGCGGGGGGGGGGGGGAAAAACAAAAAACAAAACATCAAGCGCAGACCTGAAACACATCCCAAACCCAAAAATGGCCATCACCCATCTGCCCTTTGAAGCTGAAGCTTCGGACCTGATCGAAAGCCGGCAATTGCAAAGGCTCTGGGAAAAGCCCGGGCCCGCTGGCCCGGCGGGCAAAACGAGTGGGAAATGCAGCTCACGGCTTACAGGTCCACCATACGTCGGCCACCATCGAGCTGTCGCAGGTCGTATTCGGGACCCTTTTTCCAGTTCGGACCTGCAGACAGTTTGAAAAGTTGCGGTAGCCAGGAAGCTCCAGGGATCTCATCCGCGCACGCCCCGCTCCCCCTTTCCCCCCCCCCGGTTCCCCCCCTCTCACTCTCTCTCTCGCTATGTCTCTCTCTCTCTCTCTCTCTCTCTAAACCAGCGGAAAAGTGTTCTTTGAAGGAGCTGCACTATTCCCCAGTTTGACTGCCACCAAACATATCCAGAGTACAGCCGGTCATGATTGCCGAAGACACACCATACTTGCAATATGGGTGTGGGTCAAAACCCCGTACCCCCAGTCGACATCCCAATCCGACCACTAAAATAGATGCAAAAATGGGTGGTGAATTCACCTACCAACCAAAATGGGATCCCAAAACGGTTTTGACCACCACGGCCATACTGATCGTCCCACAGTCTGCCACATTGTCCGAAGAGGTCGGAGCGTCTGTTCCAACCGTCTCATGAAGCTCAGCGTGAGATCCGAGTTCTTTCCTCCCGAAACCCGATTGGCAATGCTCGCGGGGGAATTCCACGCGGATGGCCAACCTGAAGGAAAAAAAAGATTCTGTACAAGCGTGCTGAAGGGCAAAAAGGGAAAATGGGCGAACACAAGGAAGGAAGCACCCATCCTTTCTTGAGACTTTTGGTCACTGTTCATGATCTGCCAAGCAAGTAGCTAGGCACAGGCCACATTAGAAGCACAGCGATATGCAAAGTGTCCACACAAAATGGCCATTGCCGCCGTTCCCTTGAAACAACTCTGAACTTGTAATCATGTGGGCAGACGAAAATGTTTGCTTCCCCAAGGAAAGAAATGGGTCTCGGATTACAAATCATGTGGGCCTCAGACAAAATTGTTTGGGCATGGGAAAAAATGGGTGGGCCCGGTTGGCTTCGTTTTTCTTTGGGTGGATAGACGAACTGAGCAACGGAACCGAGATGCGCCAGGTTCCCTTCAGCAACTCACGGCTTCTCAGCGGCAGACCAGGCGGCACGCCATCCTCGATCCCGTCAATGGCTCGCTTCCCAAAAAAGGAACACACAACGCTGGGGATGCTTGCAAGTCTTGGAGAAGAAATCTGGTCTTGGTTTGAAAACACTGCAAGCTCCACAGTACTCCCAGCAAGTGGCAAGGCTTCCAATACTTGGACTTGACCTAAGATGTCGGGGTGTCCGTCGGCGATCGAGTCGTCCTGCCGGCCGCGCCGCGCCGCCTTTCCTGTCTCCTGCGGCTCAAACTCACACCCCAACCACATAGCTTCACTGCCAAGAGGACACCTATGGCCACGCGCGGACGGTCAAATGGATAGTTGTCCCTGGATGGAACAAAACCAACCTAAACCAGTGGAACCCATCTACTTCGAACCAAAGCGATCAAAAGAACACCTCTGCCCATGGCACCACCTAGGTTGCCCATCTTGACGTGACTAGCCGGCAGAAACCACCTGCGCAACTCTCGCGCAAACCGCATGCCGCTCCTAGTGAGTGCCGCCGGTGCCGGGTGCTTGGGTCCTCGGGAAAAAAAATGAAGACAAAAAATAACACTGGGTCGCAAGCTATGGCTGTGTGAGTTTCTGTGTGTTTCTGTTGTGTGTTGTTGTTGGGCTTTGACCCGCCATGGCTTCGGTGCTCCTTTTGGCCTTCCTTGAAAATCACAAGAATGGATCCCCCGTGACCACTGACCAGGAGAAACAAAGAGACCAGAGGTCAAAGGGGTTTCGAACCCGGCAGGCCACCCGCCGCTAATAGATTACATGCTTGGAACTATGGGGCCAGAGCCCCTTTGGCCCGAAGCTGGACTTCGACACGCTGAACAAACCAGTCAATCAAGTTTTCTTCTGAGGTTGCGTGGAAAAGAAGAAGAAAAACAAAAACGCCTCTTGGACTGGCTTCGGAAGCAACGGAGAGATTCTGGCAGACCAGGTCATAGGATGGCATTGTGTGTCCAAAGGCTTGAGGGGGCGGCAGGTTGCTTTCCTCATCTAATTTCACCGGAATGTATAGCTTGCTTTACAGCGGCGAGGAAACCAACGTTGTGATGCGGCGCGAAGTGCATTTGTCTGTGAGCCATTCAGGACTATGTCTATTGATCGTTGCAGCTTTCTCCTGGAGACCGAGTTCGTTGTAAGTTTTCCAGGCACGGCCAGCGTAGACACCACACTTCCGCACCAGGGATGTCCAGCCGTATGTGCATCCCAAGGACGGAAACCCAGTCTCTGTCGGTGAAGTGGCCTGTTCCCAGATCTGCTAAAAAAGTTCCTAACTTTAGCGTGAAAACTAGCGCCAAACCAACCAAAAGCCCAAAAACCTATAAACCCCACTAAACCACTAAAAATCCCACCTCTAAAAACATCTAAGTACAGGAACCTGATGGTGGGAACGTGAAACGCTCGGGTCCAACTAGCGGTCCGCTTCGCTCGCTGAGGCACCGGCAGACCTTTGCCTGTGAATCTGAGGGCCTGCATGCGAGATGCGAAATCGTGGAAACCAGAAGAAAAAGGTTCGACTGGAAACTCCGAATTGATTGAGTAATGATCTGACATATACAAATACTTACATACATACATGTATATATATATATATATATACATATGTATATGTATATAGCCTGACTCCTGAAAACCAAAAAAAGCGAAGATCGAGGGCTTCCTGCCAAACTCATTTGGCAGAAGAGAGATCCATGCCTCCCATTTCTTTTATGTGCACTTGAGTTGGTTGCTTGCAGTGGCCGCAGCTTGTCAGAATTGGGACCAACCCATGGCGGACACTACATGCATGGCCAGTCGCGCTACCGGCCGAAGCTTGGCACAAAGCAACCAATCCTGGGACCCATCCAACCGAAGACTAAATCGCAACGCCTTTGAAAGCAAGCGATGGTTGTTTGGGAGTTCTAACCAAAGCAATCGCAACTCACAAAAGCACCAGATGGTTTGTGAGTCGGACAAATCCAGGCATCCCACCATCTGAGACCCAACTTCTTGTGTGCCACCTAATGTTACTCCGCTTTCAACTGAGCGGGTCAAACAAAGCCTTTGATCCTCGGCTGAAAGGGAAACGGAACTCCCAAAATGTTCCCGGCGTTCGGGTCCCTCCATCAGGTTCCTGTCCCCTCCAAAAACCCCCGCCCAAACACTAAGAAGACTCAAGCAGAGTCGAATTTCTTGGAGCTGGGGGTAGTCCTGTCTGCCTTCCCTCCAAACACGCCCCCCAAAGGTGGAGCCCCCCCCCCCCCCCAAACACCCCAAAGCCCGCGTTCCTTTTGCTTCGGGGCCCGGGCCCAATCCGCGCCGCTCCGGAAGAGCTGCTGAGCCTGAGCGACCAAAACCCATGGAGCTTCGAGGTCCTGACGTTGAAAGGGGGGCAGACATTTCGAAAATCTGAGCAGTTCAGTGGGATTTCAACCAAACCACAAGCAAACATGTAGAATGTGTCCCAACAACAACCGAGTATATGTGGGGTGGCTGTAAAAAATATGATAACCCAACAATGGGATGCCCTGCAAATGGAAAGGCCTAGAACCTGCGGTCCAATTCCTGGTTTAATTTTGACCCAGATCCATATAGGGACTGGAATAACCCCTAAACCAGGCAGAAGAGCCACCGATGGCAAACTGGAATTGTGGGCATGGCTCAAAGGACGCACAAGTTCTTCAGGTAGGGAACGAGAAAAGGAATGAACCCAGGCTTTGGTCCCCTTAAAGGAAACCAGTTGGATGGTTAAGAAGGGTCATTCCAATTCTCTTTCCCTGAGCACCAGCAAGACAAAGTGTGCAAACATCTTCATTCATCCATCTTTGCGTCTCAATGAAATGCGCACGGCAGCTTTGGTATTGTGCTGGCGCCCCCGTAGCTAGAGGGCAGGCTTCCGGCAGTGCAAAGCAGAAGCAACGGCTCGGCCACTTGTAAATCAAGCGAGGTGCTTTTCTTCAGGAGAAAGAAAACAACCACAACAAAAACGCTTGCTCCAGTCGCGCGGCCGTTCTTGCGCCATCCCCGCCTGGTGTCTAAACTTCCTCCAAACAACCCCAGGCCCTGGCAGCCAACTGGGGGGCTGGCATAGGCGGTGCGGCCCAAGAAGCCGCCACCCAGCGCCCCAGCCGTGCCTCAAACTCGGGACTCGACTCGGGCGTTGGCTGGTTGCCTCCGCACACAACTGTGCCAGAGATGGGCCAAAAATGGACCCCGAAGCCCAAAATGGCTGGTTCAAGATGGACCCCGAAAGGAGACCCAAGCACTTCAGCAGTTCAGGGGGAAACTTTGAGACGCACCCATATGAAGGAGTCGCTCTTGGAACCCTTTAGGAGGGTTTCAAGAGAAACCAATATGGAAACTGCTGCCATTTTATGGGATCCCCGAACTTTGACACAAATTCGTCTTCAAGTACGCCACTAAAGAGCTCCTCTTGGCTACAAGATACTCGCAGAAATGTGTCCCCAGGTATTACGTGGATGACTTCATCCAAAGACTGCATGCTATGTGTTTCCAAAAGCTCCCGGGCCCGCGACATATTTCCGTTCGGATTTTGGGAAGTGCCTTGAGGCACCGCTGGATGTTTGCTTCAGATAGAAATTAACCCTGGCCGACTGAGGGGGTCCAGAAGTCGATGTTCATTTTCAAAAGGGACCCTCTGGTTTCCATGTTAGTGGGCTGTCCTCAACTCCCCTGCTCAAAGCTTAGCTTTTAGTGAGTTACATGGAAATCCCCCACGAAACCCTCAAAAGCGATGGTGGACATTGCGGGTAGTCTCCATCTTCCGGAGCGAAAAAAATACTTCACTTCGAGCATCCCCACCCTCCACACTCACGAACTTACGACCGTTACAACAAATTTCTTCGCATCCTAGAGACTCCGACTCCGAATTCCCATCGACCCCTTCCCTTCCCATCGGCCACTTCCACTTGTCTGCGAGCCGATCTCGAGAACTCAAACATCGGTTCCGTTAACAAAAGCCAAGCCCCTTCCAAAAAGAATCCCGACGGGGGAGTAAACAAAGTTGCCTATTTACAACCCAAAGCAACACAAATCATCACCCTTTCCGAGCCTCAGGGTCCACTCAAAACACGAAGGCGCCAACATGAAATGTAAACCTCAAGTGTGCGCCGGGCGGGACGTTCAGCAAAAGCAGACTGGCGAGCTGCTCTGGCGGGATATTGGCGGGATCCACTGCCGAATGCTGGCGAGCCGCTCCGGCCCGATACTGGCCGGATACTCGGCAGGATCCACCGGCAAGTGGTACTCAGCGCGATACTCGGCGAGATCCACTGGCGAGCTACTCTGGGATACTCAGCGGGACACTCGGCGGGATCCACTGGCAGGCTGCTCTGGTGGGATGCTCAGCGGGATTGGCGGGATACTCGGCGGGATCCACTGGAGAGCAGCTCTAGCGGGATACTGGGCGGGATCCACTGGCGAGCTACTCTGGGATACTCGGCGGGATCCACTGGCGCGCTGCTGTGGTGGGAATCCACTGGCGAGCCGCTCTGGAGGGATACTTGGCGGGATTAGCGGGATACTCGGCGGGATCCACTGGCGAGCAGCTCTGGCGGGATACTCGGCGGGATCCACTGGCGGGTCGGCGGGATCCACTGGCGGGATACTCGGGATCCACTGGCGAGCAGCTTCGGATACTGGGCGGGATCCACTCGAGCAGCTGGCGGGATACTCGGCGGGATCACTGGCGAGCTGCTCTGGCGGGATAATCGGCGGGATCCACTGGCGAGCTGCTCTAGCGGGATACTGGGTGGGGGCGTGGTGTAGAAGCATCGCAAACGCGGATTCCAACACAAAAACAATCTAACAACCCTGTCGGGTGGGGAAACAACACTCCACTCCCTCCTTGACTCTCGACTTCTTTCGGGACCAACGCCTGCAGCATTTGGAGTGGTACAATAAGGTATCAGGCATCCCCATTTTGCCCCGGATCCCCGCACCGAATGCTCCGAATGCTCCGAATGCTCCGAATGCTCCGAATGCTCCGAATGCTCCGAATCACGGAGCTTATTTCGGCTGAACCTCCAGAGCCCGCTGGTGAAATCCTGGTCAATGGTCAATGGCTAGCAACCCACCGTACAGCCTCGAAGCTCAACTCTTCATATCCCCTTCCCTCGGCAGAAGTGGGCTTGGATTGCATTGGCTTCAATTGGTCGGGAAGCCAAAGCCAAAAACCCCATGAAGGGGTGCAAAAGCCAAAAAGCCCGGAGAGGAACTGGGAAAGCAGAGGATGCGAGAAGCCAAAGCCATCAAAAGCCGCATAAACCAGCGAAAAGCAGTCCCAGCTTTCATGGTACAGACTATTCTTATATCAAGTCAAAATTGAAATGTATCCAACAAATCAATTATAAGGGTATGTGTCTTGTTTTGCTGCGACCCGTTTTGGGTTTTTTTTTCTCGCGCAGGGAAGCCACCGATTCTGTAGCCTCCGGCCTCCAGCGGCGGCACCGGTCACGAGGCCCGCGGCGCCGCCCAACTCGGGTGGTTCAGTTGTTGAGGACAACGACGCGGGTGAGGGCGAGCGGATTTTTGCAAGACCGCACAATTTCTCGCGATATATCTATACTACATCATATTGTGTAGATACATGTATACATGTTGGCTTACAAGGGTGTATATATATATATATATGCAACCCCGCCCCATGAATCTACCTTTTGCTGTTTGAAGGCACAAACCACTGCACATGCTGGTGAATTCTGAAGGAAGATACATCCATCTCTATTTTTTCTATATGTTCTTCATCACCTTCTGGCCTTTGCCCTTGTCAGTTCTTGGTTTTGCTCAGGTAGAACCTGGACTCAGCTCCCAGCTACGGCACCCACCGGCACTGACATGCCTCAACCCGGCGAGTGAGTTGGTTGGGAGGGAGGGAGGCACGGCTTGCGCTGGAAAAGCTTCCATCTATAAAGAGGGGTCACTAGATTTCCCTCTCCAAAAAGTGGATCAATTTGCTGGGTTGCATTGATTCTTGCATACCTCAGGGGGGGGTCTAAGGCTGCCTAAGGAACGCTAAGGAACGCTAGGGAACTCTAAGGAGCTCCCAACTACCCCTTGTACCTACCCCCCTTCAGGGATTCCATGCAAAGTAACACTTGTGGGGGTTCCAAGGGAAAGGGAAGAAACCCTGAAGGAGGCATGACTTGCGATGATTCTAACCAAATGGAGCAACTCAACACAAACCAGGTGGTTCGGAAACTCGGACGTGTGACCCTAAAAATGACCGTTTCTGTTTAGTTTCCCCAAAGGCCAACATCCAAAAGGGCCCTCTTGCAACAAGATGCCCACCGCGCACACACGCACACACTTTTCGGGAGACCCCCTTTTCGTCAATCTAGGCTTGCCATCGGTAAACCAACTGCCGCATTGTGTGCGCCAAGGCCTAAGCAACTGCGGGCGTTCCCCCCGACATCAGGGGTGCCAAACATCGCCAGCACCCTCCCCAAAAAGAGACATATATATATATATGTGTGTATCTATACACATACACATACGAATACACATACACATACTTATACACATACACATACACATACACGTACACATACACATACACATACACATGCACGTACACGCACACGTACATATACACATACACACACACAAACACACAAACACACAAACACACAAACAAACACACAAACAAACACACAAACAAACACACAAACACACACACACACACACACACACACACACACACACACAGACACACACACACACACACACACACCCGCACACACACACACACACAAACACACAAACACAAACACACAACACACAACACACACACACAAACACACAAACACACAAACACACAAACACACAAACACACAGACACGCAGACACGCAGACACGCAGACACGCAGACATGCAGACACGCACAGACACGCAGACACACACAGACACACAGACACACAAACACACAGACACACAAACACACAGACACACAGACACGCAGACACACAGACACACAGACGCACAGACACACAGAGACACACACACACACACACACACGCGCCCCACACACACACACACTTAAACTCCAGATGGAGGGTGCTAATCTTTCGAGTACAACTGATGAGTCTCGAGTACAACTGATGAGTCTCGACTGGGTTCTGCTCGCGATGCACTCGGCTTCCCTCTAGCAGCGAACACGTTACCCGAAAGAACAAGAAGCACAAACAGCGCCGCAACCAAGGGGGCCAAAAGGACTTTCAGAATCACGGCATCACGGAAATGCAGGTACGCCGGAGTGGCCAACTCCGGTATCCCGTCTTGCTGCCTAGCTTTGTTAGACCCAGGTCAGCAGCAAGACGCCTGGTCCCCCCGCTTTTCCCTGTGGTGACAGGGTATTCTGTCACTCCGCACACACACGCCTCTCAGTGAGGGGCGAAAAGTCTCTTTTCTGCAGGAAGATCACATGCTCAACTTCGTGTCTCTATCGTTTGCCAAAACATCCACCGCGGCAAGGGGAACGCGAAACTGCCCTAAGCCGCTCAGAAGACGGGAACGAAAGATCACCACGATGAGCATTACGGGTGTCGCCATAGAAGACTGGAGGGAAATGCAAAGCAGTCGAGCGATCACCGTCAGAAATAGGGGAAGCATAGGTGAACATTTCCTCGACTCGGATTGCGTCCGAATTCTGCACGTCAACAAGTGATTGATCACGGGCATGATGTGTGGAGAAGGACTCCCGGTGATGCTGCCAGTCGCGAATGGTCCACGCCTGACTGTGTTCACCAGTCCCACCAATGGGATCAGTTACCCGCTTCCACTCCCGAAACGAGTTGTCTGGTAGGTCAGGTACGGTTTCTCCTGGTTGCCACAGCTGAGGTTGTCCCGGAGTGTAGATCCGCACCCACTCCTGATCCTGCCAGACCGAATATTCGAGCCATGGGTACTGCTTTGCATCCTCGATGTCCATGCCGAAGTGAGAGACAGGGCGTACCGCGGGTTCAGATCCAGCTAGCAAAGAAACAGTCACCGTGTACAACCATGCACAATCAGCAACCAAGCAAGGAAGCACAAGCATGAAAATCACCCTTTTGTGCCATGCCCAACACGCATCAGTCTAGTCATCATTTAGCTCGAAGATAGGCTTCTCCTTGGCGGTGGAGCTGCATGATTGGGTCGTAGGCAGGTAAGGATCAGAGACCCCAATAGACTCTGGTGGTGCAACTCCACGAGATGCACGTACTGGTTGGTGTTGTTGGGATGCATGACGCGCGCGATCCGACAGTTGTTGAGAGATCCCATCTTGAAGACGAGTGAGATCCTCAGTGGAGAAAGCCGCCGCATCCGATGATCTAAGAATCGCATCCAACATTTGCGGTGACATACACAAAGCCGAGGATTGCGTGGCCACGCTATGTTGATCAGGAAAAGACATCGAATCGAAGTCGTGACCAGCTTGAGGGGCAGCGACTCGCCGATAGCCCTCTGTGGCCCAGTCCCTTTTGTACCAAATGCTGTTGTTGGGCTGCGCCTTCTTGATCAGGATTTGGGACATAGAACTCCTTCCACTCTCTGTATGTATGAGGCGGAGGCGGAGCATCATGTTCGTCCTGTGGAGTCCATGATCCCGGGTGAAAGATCTTGACCCACTGGGCATCTGGCTGTTGAGGATCCGGACACCACTCCAGCCACGGCATGACAACTCAAACCCTTGATGACAAATTGAGAGGTGTACGGCTGCAGACTACTAGTACTACATGTGACACAACAGCAAACATGCAAGCAAGCACTTTTGTAGCAAGGCGCGGCTCAGGTGTCGAAGTCACTCGCCCCAATCAAATTGAATTGAATATCCAGGAAAGACGAGGACGAACATCAGCCACCATCTGAGTTCGAGGATGCCGACGAAGAGGACAGTCCAGCGTACATGAGGTCTGGTGATCCCGAAGCGAAAACTGGACGTGCAATGTTGGGTGCGGATGACCGAGCCGTTGATATCCTCTGGTAACCCAGTCGCGATACTGCCATGTATAAAAGGACGCATATGAGACCGGCTGGGAAACAGAGCCCATATTGGTGCCGCCCGTGCTGTCACTAGGCCAATACACGTCGAAGTGGTAGAATTTGCGCCATTCCCGATAGGTGGTTGTGTCCTCCGGGGCCGGTCCCAAGGTGTTTTCGGCGACTGGTTGCCACGGACCAGGTACATAGACCCGAATCCATTCAACGCTTGTGCTCGCAGGGCCATTGACGATGTCGTACTCAAAGTAGCGTGGTAGGGTCCATCTTGCAGTGCCATATATTGTAGAATTGAACATATCAACCCGGGAAGCCGCTTTGAGGCAAAACGGGAAGGCGGAAACATGGAGACGGAAAGCACAACACAAGTCAAGACAACCCAAGTTGATGCAGCAATCAAATCAGGCACAATCGCATCATTTTAACCGAGGGCTCCCGCCACGCCCCATCCGGAACTGAAGACTCCGACGAGGAAGTGACTGCTTCATTCACGAGCGCCGCCGATCCAATGTCTGGTAGTGGAACGCCAAGGCGTGGTATGACACATACGAAATGGGCATGACATTGGGGTCCGCAGCTGTTCCTCCGGCGCTGTCTGCGGGCAAGTACACGTCAAAGTGATATGACTTGCGCCACTCCCGATACGTGGAAGCGTAGTCTGGGGCACGTCCCAGAGTGGCTGTGGCTACGGGTTGCCACGGACCCGGTGTGTAAATTCGAATCCATTCCACTCCTCTCTCGATGTGGTACTCAAAATAGTGCGGGTACATAACAGCAAAATGAGTCGTCACAGGGCCGCTGAAAGAAATCGCAAAGCCACTGAATCTGCGGCGAAACACTCATGCCATGACAACCCTGACGCAATGAGAATGTGATGAACAACGCAATGCAAGGCAACTTTTCAAACTGAAGGCGGGACGAATCCACAAGGTCTATAGTATACGACACCTATGCTTCACCGCCGCTGATGCCGCACACACCTGCAATGGTAATGTCCTGGTCGGCGACGAGCACAGGGAGAAAGACACTTCCGTCCATGATGTAGAAAGGCATGACAGTAATGCTTGCAACTTGTCAATGGGGACAGCGATGGACGGGTGGCTCGTTTTGAAGGGACGCCGAGATCTCCGCAGGGCAGCAGCGGATGCTGTTCGAAAGCGTTTCGGAGAACGCGTGAGACTGCGTAGATCATCATCACGGAACTGGTCAGCGCTGCATATCGAGCGGCGTGTGCGCTGCGATTTCACTGTGGCAGGGCAGGACTGTCCTCGAGGAGAAGGGCTCGAGGAGGCACGCAATGAGGGCATAAACTGTGGGTGTAGAATCACCGGTGGTGGTGGCGGTGGAGGAGGTGGAGGTGGAAGAAGTATTGGAAACCTTGGCGGGGGTGGAGGTGAAGCAGTCCATCGAACTGGTCTGTCAAGCAATGTACCAGGCCCGTGAAACCGTAACCACGTCGGCTGCGCTCCATGGGTCCAAGTGATGTATGTCATCTTGCTCCAACATGATTTGAGCAGCTCAGCCATGCATGAAATCCAAGTCATCAACAACTTTCATGACAACCAACAATGCCCCCAATGGCAGAAATGTCATGTAGGTCCTTCAAGTCATTACTGCAAAGTATGCCAGCCATGTCATCCAAGCAAGCGAGAAAAATCATGCGATCTGCCATGTCCGCAATCCAAACCATCTCGACAACATGCAACGCTCACAGAATGCACTGCCACGTCCTGCGGATTAGTCCCCCGATAGTCGCTGGTTCTTTCGATGCACAGTGCCCTAAGCGCGAGCCTCAAGTTGCTGGTAGACCTTCCAGGCCTGCTTGACTTCCTCTATGGGCTTCTGAAGGAAACGGGCAATGGT